GATATATATATATATATATATATATATGTGTGTGTGTGTGTGTGTGTGTGTGTGTGTGATTTAGTTACAGCTAAAAAAGAGAAAACATGATCTCTATAGGATATTTTTTTATTATACTACACAATGTAATGAACCTTTGAGAACACGCACAATTAAACACTGTATTACTGTAAAATGCATTACCAAAACAAAAATTATATTTCTGTAATGATCGTAATGTAATGATCGTAACCTAAAAATGTATTTATTAACCTATTAAGAGTGGTGTGTGTGTGTGTGCGCGTTTTTGTGACAAATGAGGACATAAATTTGTATTATGACAAAGGTATGACTCCTGTGAGGGGTAGGTTTAGGGGTAGGGTTGGTGTAGGGCAATAGAATATACGGTCTGTACAGTATAAAAACCATTACGCCTATGGGATGTCCCCACTTTTCACAAAAACAAACCTGTGTGTGTGTGTGTGTGTGATTCTGACCTGAGATCAGCAGGCTCTGTACACATTCTGTTGCCTTGGATTCACATGCACAGTACAGCGCTGTTCCTATGCTGGGAACCTCCATGTCCACATTCACACCATGAGACAGCAGCAGTTCAACACATGCTGTGTGACCTGAAACATATACATAAAGACATCTGGTTTACTGATATTCCAATGTTTTCAGTGCATTGCAAATTCACACAAATCATCACACATACCTCTCTTTGCTGCTTCATAGAGAGGTGAGCTCTGCAGATGAGCTGGATGGTGGACAGAGCTGTAGATCAGAATGAGGCTGACGAGGGCGGGGTTTCCACTACAGCATGCACTGAAGAGAGGAGTGGCTCCATCAAAAGAGACAGCATTGGCCTGAATGCATATATATGTTAGCCATTAATGCATGTTTATGCAGAAACAATGAGCAAAATAAAGGCAGATACTGTAAATAAAGGGAAAGGTATATACATACATCAGCACCATGTTCCAGGAGAAGTTTAGCACAGGTGAAATGGCCTCCAACACATGCTTCATGCAGTGGTGTGATTCCATCTAATGTAGCCATTCCCACATTGTACCCCTGTACACATGCACACATAGACAATTAATTTCCTTCAATCACAAAAGGGAGTATTCAGTTCATACAAAGTCTGTTTTTAAGGACTGATTTTTGTTATAGTGTTCAGATATTGTTGTGAACTATTCCGTTTGAAAAATGTTATGCCAGTGTTTCTTCCATCAGTACCTGTGAAAGCAGTCTTCGTAATGGCAGCAATCTTCCTTGCAAAGCAGCGTCATGTAGAGGTGTTCTGTCATCCCAGGAATCTAATAAAGCAGAGACATGGACATTTATATGGATATTTAAATGAAGATGTGCCATATACACTTTTGTTGTTTTTATGTCAGTTAATAATAATGTATGTATACAGACAAAACCAATCTCTACTCCTAAAAGAACACTTCACCCAAAAATGAAATTTTGTCATCAACTCAAATTGTTCCAAATCAAACAGTTGACGCCATTGACTTCCTCAGTATTTTTTTCCATACTATGGAAGTCAAAGGTTACCATCAACTGTTTGGTTACCAACATTCTTCAAAATATCTTCTTTTGTGTTTAACAGAAGAAAATTGAACACGTTTGGAACAATTTGTTTCAAAGTTAATGATGACAAAATGTTCATTTTGGGGTGAACGATCCCTTTAAGAATACATAAAAAATTATAATATTATTATAAATGCATTTATTGTTATTTCTTATGCATCTGTTATTATTTTTGATGACTTTTAAAATCCTTTTAATATAAGGCACTTTGAATTACCATTGTGTATGAAATGTGCTGCATAAATAGACTTTGTCTGTTTATTAATAATTGTTATCTTTTAATAATTAAAGGGAAGGTTAAGGATTTTTCCACGAGTATTAGTATTTTATTTATATATTTATTCATTTTCAGTTTTTGCTATTGTTGTAAAGTATAGTCAGGAAAATTGTTGAGTTAGGGGGACTGGAATTGGAAAATGTCCCAGGGCAAAATTTTAAATTTGAAAGCCAATGGTTCGTACATGTTTTGAGCATGTGCATAGCCCACTGAGTCACAACTCTGACCTCAATAAGTCAATTTAGTAAACAGCCGGAGACTGTTTCATCCCCAAAGTATAAACCTACACACAATCCATTCTTTTAGAATAAATGTATCCCTTAAAAGCATTTAAAACTACGCCAGAACAAAAACAAGTTAAACAGGCTTTTCTAGACCATAATTTCAAGCCAAAGTCAATTTCCTTTTTCTATTTCAGCGTGTATAATAATTTAATTGTATGGACTTGGTATTACTATAGTACATCTTTCTCAAGGTCCAGTGGTGACAATTCAGTGGATATCACAAAAAAAAATGTAATGAAGTGAAAAGAGACCTTGGTCTTTGTGGTGAACATTATAAGTCTGACTACTAAAAACATTCAGGAAGAGAGACAACAACAGAGGTAGAGGATGAAAACTTACCTGCCATTAGTGTATTACACACATGTCTTCCATACAACTGAAACCTGTGATCCCATGGCTTACTCCAGACATTCACTTCAGCATGAACCACAGCCATCTTTAAACTTCACAAGAAGCCAACTCCGAGACCTCGCAGGAAGAGAACAATTGAGATAATGGAGCACAGAGAAACTCTTCAGAGGAGTTTATATGGCCTTCAGAGAAACAAGAACCCCCCTTGGCAAGAATGCACCTCCCTCTGTTATCAGTGATATGTGCTTGCACCCCCATCTCCTTAAACTTGAGAGGTGAGCATCCCCCGCATAAACACATCCCCTCAAAATGAGTCAAAAACATACACATACAAAACCCCTTTAACCAGTTTCAGAGAATAAATCAATGAAATAAATGAAACTTTCGTAACAGAAACTCAAGACAATGAATTCATCTTAAAATTACAAACTTTGAACTACAACCTCAAAAACAGATGATTTTGCACATACAGCAAGCAAAATAGCTCAAACTTAGCCATGAACCTAAGCCAATATAACTGCAAATGTAATTGGTGATACAGTATCTGCCACTCCAGCAAAACATGATTTACATGCAGTGTTATGCAGGAACAGGACCATCCAAGCTGGATAGGGTGGTTATTGAATGTGCATGTGTGTGAAAGCAGTCAGAACGTGCGATAAGTGTGTTAACGGCTCCTGGTTTTAGCCTTGAATGGGTGAGGGTGTGTATTATCTGCCCTGTTTGGGTGTTAGCATAAGATTCCTGATCCAGAGAGACCCTGACTGTTATCTACAACAAAAACAACTACTTTACCATAACGTACCAAACTTATACTCAACAGTTGCACATTTCCAGTAGAATTTTACATAGATTTTATGTTATTGCATGGACAAAATCCCAATTCATATCAACATTAAAAAAATAAAAGAATGTATACTTATGATATGTTAAAAAAAAGTTTATTGTAGATTGTGTCAACAAAAACAATTCAAATTCACACCCACTTCAGGTAGTATGAAATTTTGTGCATTATAATCATGTTCACAATACTCACAGAGAAGGTCAATATAAAATAGGTGCAACAAAGAAAGCAGGTATGAAAAGTATAGCGCCCAAAATCAAGTGTACTGTATGTGAACTGTATGTGTTTTATGTTTAGGTTTAAATAAATGCATTTACACCATTATCCAAAATCTGCCAATAAAAAGAAGCAATTTCAGTAAGAACCGGTTTAAAGACAAACAAGCACTGTCAGATCAAAAAAAATGAACAGATATGATGCATCTTACATTTCATACCTCCACTAGAGCTCATAAACTGTATTTGGCATTAAAACGTTCAGCTCATTTATATCAGTTTAAATCACATCTACACCATACAGATGTGCTGTTAGAAGAAAAATGTTTGACTGTTTGTCATTTATCTTAAATCTAGACATTAAAACATATTTGTGCAACAATTTCAACAAGTTTAGACTATTTTCTGATGGGGGTTCAGTTAAAGGCAGCTTTTCAGTGTGCAAAAGCAGGCGCTGGACTATAGGAGTGGCTGAGGATAGCTTTTAAAAGCTTTCTCTTCACCTGAGGTCGCGGTTTTATACAGGAATGTAAACAGTAGTCAGTACATGTTTTGATGTACCATAGTACACTATGACGTACCGGTACAACAGGTTTAGTTCAGTTCATTACTTGCATCCTTCCCCTTCTAAATAAAGTCCACCATGAGACTAATGTGAGGTCATGTTAGATCATTAATCAGGACAAAGCTGGGTTTGGTGTTTTACTTTTCTTCTTACTAAGCTGCTGCCCCATTTGGCTGTGGGGACCTGATGAGTCTATAGCAACATCAATCAGATGATCTGGGCGGAGCCACTGCAGGAGAAGCAGGAAGAGGAAGGTAATAACAGCAAAAAAGGAGAAAATGGAGCCTGCCACAGCACCACAGTGAGAGCGCAGTCTATGCAGTCGCTCAGAAAATGGCAAAACAGGTTCCCTGCACACCCGATTATACACCTGAAACACACACAGAGAGAGTGGGCTCATTATACAATTATTCTAATAACATTTAATAATAAAATACACTACCTTTCAAAAGCTTGGGGTCAGTAAGATTCATTTCTTTTAAAAGAAATGTATACTTTTATCAGTAAGGACGCATTACATTGATCAAAGGTGACAGTAAAGAAATTTATATTGTTGCAAAAGATTCCTATTTCAAATAAATGTTTTTTTTTTCTTTTCTTTCTATTCATTAAAAGACTCATGAAAAAATCTGAATCAGTTTCCAGTTTCAGCCTTGGTGAGCATTAAAGACTTTACCAATCGTTTTTTAAAGTTACCCAACAAATGTGCATCCAACAAATAATTCAAGCATGGTATTAAAACTCACCTTTTCTGTGCGCTCGGCAACGTTTCTCCAAGTGTACAGAGTTCGGACCTTGCGGTGGATGGTGGCAGGAGACGCCACGTTTCCTGTGCGTATTCTTGCAATTACAGTTTCCAAGCCATCACAAAGTGAGCGAACTGATGGTCCACACAGAGTCACCAACTCATCAGGCAGGACTTCAGGTATACCTCCAACACGGGTGCTCACCACCTGTACACACGCAGGCACACAGAGAGCAGTGCTTATTTAGATTTGATCACTGATGAACATCCAAAAATCAGGGTTATTGGCCAGGGGATTCTTTTCTTTTTGTAAAGAAAAAAATGTGGAATAATAATAATAATAGCAACAATTCTAGCAAAACAAACAAAAAAAATTATGGAAAATATAAACAATAAAAATGTATTATTTATCTGTGTGGGAAAGAAAACAAACAAAGCTGAACTACTAGTCTGTCTGGGCCAAAAGTCCTTGCTGTTCAGTCCTGTCATAGACTAATTACATGTAGGCTATTTAGATATTTTCAATTAAAGAAACTTACAACATGGAAACCAGTTAATTGTACATTTAAAACATGTGTGCATCTAACATATATTGTGCATAATGTCACACAATTTTCTATTGCACAACTTGCAGTCAACATGATATGCCATTTGCAACCCCTTTTACTTCTATTATGTGTTTTCATTCATACATATTAATAGCAAAAACCCCACATACCTGCAGCCCACAGCTGGCTCCCTCCACTATGGCCATACAGAAGGCCTCGGTGAGAGAAGTGTTAAGAAAGATATGACCCCGAACAAGAACATCCCTCACATCTTTATGATCCAGAGCTCCCAGCAGACGAACCCTTTATATACATCAAAATTATATGTATATAAAAAAAGACATTATAAACACACATAAACTCACATCTAGAGATCATTTCTCATGCCCACTGACTTTCATACCTGTCATGAAGCTGATATTTTTCTCGAACCTCTTCCAGTATGATTCTTTTGGGTCCCTCTCCACCAATCAGAAAGCAGAGATCTGGATGCTTTCCACATAGTTCAGGAATGATTCCACTTAGTAAATCAATCCCTGTAAAACAACCAGCCAACAAATCACAGGGTCAATGAGATGATGCTATTTTTTTCCAGATCTGTTTTTCTTTACCTAAAAAAATCATTGCAATTCATACATAGAATGCACCTCTTCAATGATAAACACCTTTTTCATTTCTAAAATGAATTCATAATAGTTAATTAAATAGTTAATAGAGCATTCATTTAATAAAAAATACTTTTTATAATTTTTGGAAAACAATTCAGGGTGACAGTACAACTGTCCTGATATCATAATTTAAAAATGCCTAAAAATGAAATTCTTGAAAAGAAAACCTTATTAAGTAGCTTGACACTAGCTTTTATTATTATTGTTTTTAAAATATACATTTATTAATAACTCATGACATTTTAAAAACATGTTTTTTTTGTTACTTTTTTGAAAAATATAATTTTTTCTCCAAAAATCAGATTTTATTTTTAATTTGATTTACTCTTACATGTATTCAAGGAGTAATTGGGCATTTATTTACTTGATAGCTACTTCACATTAAATTTTTAGAATCGTTAAATTAAACTTTTCTTGAAATTGACATTTTATTCAAAGATTATAATTACCCCCAAACACAACTTGCATATATTGAAATTCTTGAAAATTTCAAGAATTTTCAAGTTAAGTCGCTTTGGATAAAAGCGTCTGCTAAATGACTAAATGTAAATATATCAATACATTATTCTGTAATGCAAATAAAAACACCATCCTCTAGCTACCTTTCCTGTAAACCAGTCGACTGATGACCACAATGGTAATCTTCCTATTGTCACGGCGACAGGGGTCAGGGGTGAAGTCAGTGGGGTCGACAGCATTAGGGATGACAGAGACGATCTCAGGGTCAAGAGCGGCTCGCAGTACAGTGTTCTCTTTACTAGTGTACGACACACACACAATGTGATTGGTGTCACACAGAGAGACAGTCAGCAGCTTATTGGTCAGTACAGAGCTCAGGTCCGCAAATCCAAAGAGAGAGTGATCTGTGAAGACGGTGTTGAGTCCCATAGTCTTGGCATGGAACAAAGCATCATGGGCCATCGCGGAGAAGGAGCTGTGGGCGTGCACGATTGTGATGCGTTCACGCACAAACACACACCGGAGTAACGGCAAACTGTGAAAGCAGGTGGTCGCTGTGGACTGATTATACATGACCTTGAAAGAAAAAGACACGGGGATGTGAGTGGTAAGTGTGATATGTATGACACTTTAAACTAACGTAGTATATTGTAAAACACACCTGCAGTGGTAGATAATACACCTTCAGTCCATTGGTCAAGTAGCGAATCCCACGACGGTCTCCATATGCATGAGTTGCGATCACAACCTTATGGCCCTTCTCTATGAGGCACTGTGAGAGCTGGTAGATGTGACTCTCCACACCACCCATGTTTGGGTAGAAGAAGTCTGACACCATACATATCCTGTGCTTCATGCCCTGCTCGTGATCAGTGTGCAGCAGTGTGCTGCTGGAGGAGTGTGTGTCCAAAGATGAAGGGGTTTTAGGTGCATGAGTGTGACCTCTCTTCCTGTGGCCCATGGTGATGTGAAGTTCTCAGTGCTCTGTCATTCAAAAGTAGAGATGCACCTCAGCACAAGACAGTCACACACTTCTGCTCTCAGCCATACTATATATAGATTGCAGTATATTGTGGTTTTAAACTTTACTACAACACTGTAACTGCACTCAAAACGTTCACCCAACGTTACGGATGATGGTGATGTGACAATAGTGATTTGATTTAATAGACAAACGGGTGAATTAAAGAATCTTTAGTTTGACGAATTTACCACACTTTACGTGCATTAACACTACGTGTCATTTACATGAATGACACTAAAATACTAAAACACTCACCCAGTCAATCGCTAGCTGTTAACATATGAGACGATGTGTACGAGACGAGTTGAAGATGTGTGCTGGATCTAGATACATCTTTAGCACATTTTAAATCCATTGTTAATTCGTCGTGTTCTGCCATCATAGAAATGAAAATAGTCTTTTTCTGGAATAAAATACAAGCGAAACAGCAGACCATCACGTCTACTTCCGTGGTTTTTGGAGTTTTTTCTTCATGGGGTAAAATAATTTAATGCGACGGTAAGTGCTGCCCTCTAGGGGACACAGTACGTTACCTTGACAAAGATCTAAAAGTTTGACTCCTGTCAGAATAAAACAATACTTTTAGGTAAATACTTTAAGCCTTAGTCTCATAAATGGTATTTTTGCGATGTCGCATAAGGTAATGCGATTGTATCTTGGTTTCCTCCACCATATAACAGGCGATCTCACTAAATCCTCTACAGCTCAACTGATATAACTGCATGCAGCTTTCATAATCAGGGGATATGAACGTAAATGAACTATACAGATTTCAAGAATCAATACAATACCTTTTCCTTTTGTTCTTGAAGCTGATGTAATTCTGGATCCAAACACAGCCAACCCAGATCTCCTAGTCTCTGAAGATGGAAAAAAAATTGAGAGCAAAAGAATATACAGGTCTTGATTACTGGCATCATGGGTATCAGTGGAAGCGATCTAAATCTGATGGTTGGACGTGTGTTCAAGCTAAAGAGGGTTATGGCACAGGTCTTCATTACTGGGAGGTAGATGTGAGGAAGAAACGTGAGTGGCAGGTGGGAGTTGTGAAGGAATCAGCCCCTCGAAACGGCTATGTCACAATGAACACAAAAACAGGGTACTGGAATCTGCGCCTGCAGCTGGGAACTTTGATGGCTTTGACTGAACCAGTCACTAAACTGGACCTGCCAACACCCTCTAAAATAGGAGTTTATCTGGACATAGAAGAGGGCCACGTCTCTTTCTATGATGCAGAGAAAGGAAGACATATCTACGCCTTTAACGTAGATATAAAGAGACTGGAATTATTTACCCAGTGTTTGGCACTGTTGAGACAGACAGAGCGTTGGTGATTTCATAGTAAAATATGTGGTAAAACACATTTCACTTACTTCTCCTTACTACTGTAGATTAATCCTAAACATTTTAAATTAAGTATTTTGCTTATTTTATTGAGTTTTAGTGAGAAGTCAAAATGTTACAATAGGAGGTAAGTGTTTGTACAGATTTTTATGTAGAAGCCGCCTCGCAAACACCTCAAGAAAAAGTTATTGTTTTCATTGTTCCTGACTCAAGTAACCTTGCATTTTAATAAATAATGTTACATAAAGATAATTAAACAGTCAGTAATAAATGAACAAGTTACTAGCAATAGCACAAGGATACAAATGAAACAAACTGTTTTAACTTTTTCAGGTAGGCTATAGCCTAAAACTAACAGTAGCTGCTACTATTCAGGAACAAAATACTATGATGTATAAAGTCATAGATATAGATTATATTTATATATTAGTCCATATTAAATATGAAAAAGTTATTTAGTTGAGCAGATTTGAGCAGAGTGATTTTTTTCTTTTGTTCTTTAACACAGACTGACAGACAGACAGCAGGTATACTAAAAGCTGCTGTCACTTTCATACTTAATGTTAATGTTAACAATGTTAATTAATTATTGGTTATTGTTAATGTTAACAACAAAAGACAAAATCACTCACTGCTCTTGACTGAATAACTTTTGTAACTTTAATTTTAAGAATTAATCTGTTGTTTAATTTACAGTGAATTTACTGTTTTTAATTTACAGTTTATTCCATTTCTGCAGCATTTCTGTACCTGAATGTTTTCCACCAAAACTGTTTCTAAAACGAAATTCAGGTCCTGAGTTTAATTTATAATACTGGCTAAGCAAATTACAATACTTAACATTCTGGCATTCAGTTATGTGATTATATAACTTATGTTCTCTGCATGAAGATTCAACTCACTCATTAAGACAGTCACTTGCTGCCACCTACTGGCGGTTGTAGTTTCATATTTTAAAAAGTAGTTCATTATTTCATTTTTGCGATCATTTAATATTTCTACATTAAAATGGTGTATTTAAACTTAACTTATGCAAAATCCATCTATGGATTTTGTTTATAGTGATTTCACAGGGGCCCCCAGCCCTGTAAGTCCTGCCCTGTATATGTATATATATATATATATATATATATATATATATATAATTTTTTTAAAACAAAGATTGTCCTTTGTTAATAATCTTCAAAATAACATTTTGCGATATAAATATATTTACTAATGTAAAAAAAAATGTAAACATAAAAAAAAAAAAGACATGTAATTTGAGAAGTAGGCTACTTGTCCATGACATTCAAATGCCATCATCTCCTGACACGCAAACTCACTGAAGTGTATGTTAAACGTAAGCCATTATTCAAATACAGTTCTTTCCAAATTTTAAACACAAGCATTCATGTTACTGTCGTGTTATTGTTCTGTTTGTTCACTAAAGCAACTTAATTTTTGTTTACTCACTTAATGTTTTACAACATAATGAGTCAATTCACAGTACAGGTCAGCTGTCTACAATTAATCACAATTATTGCTTGTTTCTCAATGAAGACCTTCTCTTCTGACTACTGAATAGCATATGTGAGTAAAGCTATTAAGTTTCAGATGCTATAGTGCTTTGCATTACCTTGAGATAAGATTAACATGAAGAGAATTAAACAAAATTTACTTGAAAGTTTTATTTTTATTTTTATTAGAAGTACTTTCATTTAAATGTAAAAAGAAAAAACTATAGGCTAATAAAAAATTGTATTTGACTACTTTCATATCTCGGAAACAGTGTTTGCCTAAATATAAAATATACAGTGTAATTTCTAAAAGCCATGAAACTGCACGTGACATCAGGAACAGATATCTATACTCGTGATATAAAGCAATAAAGACATACAGTTTTACAATAAATATATTTGAATCCCTAGTCTGCCCTACAAGGAAGTAGGAAGATGGCATGCATATAATAGCAAATTATTTATTGTCTCGTGGTCATGGATAATTAGTCATTTGACTCACATTTCCTTCAGAGCAGTTTCCTTTAGCACACAAGAAGCTGAGGGGAAAAAAAGTTGCAAAAACGTATTACATGTCAAATAAAACTGCAGCTGTTTGGGAAGATTTCTTTTATGAACCTTGTGGCTTGTAGTAAAATTCCAGACCCACTCATTCGATTCATGTAACAGTAAAGTCTGTTTCAGTGCACTAAATGTTGTTTTTTCACTTCTCGTTCGAGATGCACTACACTAGCCTGCCACTGGCTGGCTGCTCCCGGTAGTGACGCTCTCGCAGTGTTTGTTGCCTATACTCTATCACAGATGAAGTGAATTGAATGCAATATTTGTCAAATACACGTTTCAGAAACGTTTTCATGAGCAACAGAAACACTTTTTATATACTGCTTAATACAGCGCCATCTTTTCATGAATAAAGTTCAACATTAACATATACTATTTAAATACCAATAAAGTGGGGGTATGCTTTTATCAGTGTTTTATTGATTAACGTGATTTAATATAACAGTGCGACTACACTAAAAATGCTTTTACTGTTATAAAAACCCAGATTTGTGAGCGTAAACCATAGACTGTATAAAAACAGGAATAAACACGCAACACACGTCGTGCTTGTCGTCCCAGAATCAACATTAACATATACTATTTAAATACCAATAAAGTGGGGGTATGCTTTTATCAGTGTTTTATTGATTAACGTGATTTAATATAACAGTGCGACTACACTAAAAATGCTTTTACTGTTATAAAAACCCAGATTTGTGAGCGTAAACCATAGACTGTATAAAAACAGGAATAAACACGCAACACACGTCGTGCTTGTCGTCCCAGAATCAAACCAATGAGAATAAAGTGTGTCGTCATCAAGGCTCTCGCAGCCGATTTTGAGCAACTGCAGCGCCTGGCCTAGCTAGCTAGGCGGCTGGTCTCGTTTTGCTCTCGCAGTAGTCTACTTTGATGGCACATGTGATCGTAAGGCGGCTGCTGCAGCGCCGATCAAAGTCGGACAGATGTTCTAACCAGAATACATTGCTTTTGACAGGCGGCAGTCGATCTTTGCGGCGCGTCAGGAAGTCGAACAAGCCTATTTCCTTCTTCCTCAAGCTGGGCAGTCCCCTACGAATCCCAGGTGTACCGACGAAACATATCAGATGCACATAACTTCCGGGAGGGAAATCAAGATATCACACAACTGATAGCTTATATATTTACCATGACTTATTAATACGTGAGCATTTTAAAAAGATTTTATTAATTCGTTTCCTCAATTTATTTAAAGTGTGGCCACGTTATTTTATAAAATAAAGTGTGGTGTTCTGTCGATTTGTGCTACCCTGTCAGATTTTGCTACCTCCCATTAAAACAGTGGGTAGTACAATTCGACAACGAAAAATGCTACCTGTAAAATTATGGTTTATTAACGTCTACACCTACCACAACCCTAGACCTACCCGTACAGTAATGCAAATACAGTAATTATGTGTTATATGCACGGTTGTAGCTAGAAGGGATACAGCTAAAGGAAACCAACGATAAATAATTGTTTCTACCTATTAGATTGTGTTTTATTAAAGAACTGCAGCTGTTTGGGAAGATTTCTTTTATGAACCTTGTGGCTTGTAGTAAAATTCCAGACCCACTCATTCGATTCATGTAACAGTAAAGTCTGTTTCAGTGCACTAAATGTTGTTTTTTCACTTCTCGTTCGAGATGCACTACACTAGCCTGCCACTGGCTGGCTGCTCCCGGTAGTGACGCTCTCGCAGTGTTTGTTGCCTATACTCTATCACAGATGAAGTGAATTGAATGCAATATTTGTCAAATACACGTTTCAGAAACGTTTTCATGAGCAACAGAAACACTTTTTATATACTGCTTAATACAGCGCCATCTTTTCATGAATAAAGTTCAACATTAACATATACTATTTAAATACCAATAAAGTGGGGGTATGCTTTTATCAGTGTTTTATTGATTAACGTGATTTAATATAACAGTGCGACTACACTAAAAATGCTTTTACTGTTATAAAAACCCAGATTTGTGAGCGTAAACCATAGACTGTATAAAAACAGGAATAAACACGCAACACACGTCGTGCTTGTCGTCCCAGAATCTAACCAATGAGAATAAAGTGTGTCGTCATCAAGGCTCTCGCAGCCGATTTTGAGCAACTGCAGCGCCTGGCCTAGCTAGCTAGGCGGCTGGTCTCGTTTTGCTCTCGCAGTAGTCTACTTTGATGGCACATGTGATCGTAAGGCGGCTGCTGCAGCGCCGATCAAAGTCGGACAGATGTTCTAACCAGAATACATTGCTTTTGACAGGCGGCAGTCGATCTTTGCGGCGCGTCAGGAAGTCGAACAAGCCTATTTCCTTCTTCCTCAAGCTGGGCAGTCCCCTACGAATCCCAGGTGTACCGACGAAACATATCAGATGCACATAACTTCCGGGAGGGAAATCAAGATATCACACAACTGATAGCTTATATATTTACCATGACTTATTAATACGTGAGCATTTTAAAAAGATTTTATTAATTCGTTTCCTCAATTTATTTAAAGTGTGGCCACGTTATTTTATAAAATAAAGTGTGGTGTTCTGTCGATTTGTGCTACCCTGTCAGATTTTGCTACCTCCCATTAAAACAGTGGGTAGTACAATTCGACAACGAAAAATGCTACCTGTAAAATTATGGTTTATTAACGTCTACACCTACCACAACCCTAGACCTACCCGTACAGTAATGCAAATACAGTAATTATGTGTTATATGCACGGTTGTAGCTAGAAGGGATACAGCTAAAGGAAACCAACGATAAATAATTGTTTCTACCTATTAGATTGTGTTTTATTAAAGTCTACACCTACCCCAACCCTAAACCTACCCTTACAGTAATGCAGATACATTAAATAATGTTGTTCAGCATGAGAAAAAGGACGCAATATTGATGTGCGCATGCGCAGTAAACCCTGGTAGGACAATCTGAGGGTAGGATAAAATGTCAGGACACCGGCATTATTTTACCTTCATATCACTGACAGCCTGGCTCTCGTTAATCACGTGATTTCAGTTTAAGGACAAACACGGGGAAATAGGCTACAGAGGCGCCACCCAGTGAATATATTGTAACAACAACTGTTCAGTAGCCTATATTCTCAAGCGTTCGTCTATGTGAAATAGCCTACGATATATATAAGAATATAAGGATAAGAACATGGGGATTTTGTCCAAGTCCATTCGGAACCTGCATGATTTGCCAAGGAACGGTAAGTCAATAAATATACAGATAATGACCTAGTATGTGATAATGGAAATATATGCTATTCGTTTAAAGTCAACAGGTCATTCAGTTGGTTTTACTTTCTCATTCAATATGCAGATTTACATGCTAATGTGAGACTCTTTTTTTTAAAGGACAGGATGTCATGTCCACATGGAAAACTAAAATAATTTGCAAGACTGTTAAAATAGAATATGATCGTACGTCTGAACCATTCACAAAGCCAGAGTTGTCTACTACAATAGTACGTTTTCATCACGAAACATCTACGTCTACTGGTATCTGAATGTGTGCATAGTTTTTTTGTTTGTTGATGAAAAACATGAACAGACAAGGAGGGCCGTAACTTTTCCGATTTATTTTAACCAAACTTTATCTAACAGGTAAACAGGTTAAGGAATACATTAGGATCAAAGGAAACATTTCTACAGGTATACTTACATTGATTTAGTTACTAATTAAATCAGCCTATAAATTCATTATGCTTTGTTTTGAATGACAGTTATACATGCATGTGTCTATGTCTTTGTATCCACACAGAAGCAAAACACCTTGGACACTTTCAATATTATAATAGACCTAGCAACACAGTTAAACAGAGTCACAGCAAAGGTAGATTACACATTGTTTCTGCTGATAAACTTTCATAAAAGATTGTCTGTCTTGACATAGCTAAATTATGAGCAATTGAGAGATTATCTACATTGGCATTCTTCTTGTCTAGACAATGAATGAATAACTCTTTCTGCTATGTGATATTTCAGGTTTCTGGACAGTCCCAAGCTTTTAAGATGGTTGATGACTTGAGTTTAGAAGAATGTAAATGTTTTATTTTCAGATGGTCTAAAGAGCTGAAATGTTTGAAGTCAAAATACAAGAACAACATAGGCAAGGTAATAGTGACTCGAGATCTCATGTAAAAATGGATTTGGAATAAATAAATAAAAATCCCAGTTTATAAGGAACTGAAATGTAAAACAAGCCATATATTCCATGGAAGAAATAAGACACCACATCATTTTGAACCCTGCCTACACCCGTTAAATTTTCATTGAATTTCAAATGCATTGGAATTTATGATTTGTGTGTTAAGGTCATGGATATGTTCAAATGAAAATGAAACAAAATGACTAGTTAGGGGGCGTCTGTAATTAGTCCCTTTGGTTCATCTTAGCTAATTTTTACTGATAAAAATTGAATGCATTCAAAACAACAAATAGTGTATCAGCCTCAGCTGTACCTCTTGAAATGTAATATAATCGCAGACATGTTATTACAGATACAACAAAAAGATGAGTTGTAAAGTACTTATTGTTAAAAACTTGGTATCTCATCAGATTTCCACTGTTGAGAAATTCAGGAGTCTGGAAGCTCTGAACATCAAAAAGCATCAAGATCAGAGCCTGAAAGATGCTCTAAAAGATTTTCAGTGGTTAATTCATATTTTGCAGTCACTTCCAAAGGTCAGTGATAAGAAAAAGCTTCATTACTTGATCATACTTTTTAATCCTATGCATATGAAAGCGTATTTGACGGTCTTGTTAATTTCTCTCTTTTCGTTTAGTCCTCAGTGTGTCAAGGATGCGCTAGAGTAGAACTGTTGAATCTTTACAGACAGTGGAAAAAAGGGCAGCTGATCAGCATGCTTCCAATTATGGAATTTATCATGAAGACATTACTTAAGGAAAAGGTATACTGAGATCATGTTTCTACAGATGTTTGTTTGCTCATGTAACACATTTATATATCAGAGACATGAAAAGTAAAATATGCAGAAAACCTTTATAATGGTCAAAATGAGGGCGAGAGAAATTGTTTCATAGCATGTAATTTAAAAATAAAGAGACTTATATGACAGAGACTGGATCAAGGGGCCCTTCCTATAAGATTTGACTGCTGTTTGAAAACCACTTCAGGTGTTTGGATGTAAAACTTACTCTAACCAAACTGGAATGGCAGACTTTAAACATATTGTGCATGTTATATTCATGTTTTCCACACTGGAAATTCAACTATTTAGTGCCATAGAATAGATGATCTAACTTCTGTTTAAGGTTTTTTATTTTTATTTTTAGGATTTCATTTTGATACAGAAGCCTCAACATAGATCAGATGGAAAAAGGTGAGGCGTTTATTTTACGTATGTGTTACTTTCACTATTTCACGTATGTGTTGTTGTCCCTTCTTGTAAGCACAAGAAGCTGTGCATTTACAAGAAAGGGCGAGATGAAATTCTTGCTTCATATAGAAAGAGAAACATTTCATCATCTGGAAAGAGGAACAAAGAAAGCATAGGGAAATAAAAGTTATTTGCAGTAGAAGGGTATTTTCAGTGACAGTATATTTTCTTTCCATTTCTAGGTTGCCAATCATCATTTGAACGGCATCTTTTGAAAGACTTATCTTGAAAGGATTATCAAATCCTCACCTTGGCATCACCATACACCAATATGACAGCTCTCAGGACATCGTTACCTGTAGGCAGAAAAGAAAACATTTAAAGACGTGTGACTGACGATATCAGAGTGGATATAAATTATTGCTTTTTTATCTAAAAAGAATATATTATAATAAACACCTTTAAATCAAGGTAGACTCATTATTATCATTCTTACATTTCTTTGAATGTCTGTGAAGAGCAAAATCTGCACAGAATATAGTCGCATGACAAAATTGAGCTAATTTGTTTGAATGAAAAAAATTAAGTGAATTGAAAATAGTCTTTGCCGTGTGTTAGGTTCAGAAGAGAAAGAAAAATGACAATATGCAGCCACTGTACTGGACAGTATCAAAAGCACTTTGATCCACTGATGCAAATGTGATGATATGCATAATAAACTGGTCTTTTTTGTGACTGCACTTCTGCTATCTCACATTTAAATAATTATGTATGTGGGTGTTTTGTGTAAATAAATACACTGTGTGGATTTCATTTTTATGTTGGCCATGGAGGCATGAACAGAACATATCTTTTGAACAGAAACAAAGATGAACAGACACTCTGTAGACACTGTTTTTGTAAATGTATGACTATGGTCCTGTTTGTGTCAAGGTTGCAAAATATGTGTCTGAAGAAGTTCACCCACAATGTCACACTGAACAAAAATATGTTGACACATTTCATGTTGTTTTGGGTCTCACATCTGTCCCTGACCTTGTACTTTCATTTCTGTTTGGTTGTTGTTCTTTCAGTGTATGACCACTAGAGGTCAAACATGTGTAATCTTTGTCCAATTTCACTATGTAACATGTATTTTTATACCTTTTCCGCAAATACTATTTTATTACACTTTTTTTTTACAAAATCATTGTTGATGTCAGATATTGTTGTTGTTCATGGGCAGGTGAAAATTTATATAAATACAGCACAACTGGTCATCAGTCAGTGTGGTATCTTTATTTAGGGTCTTCAAAAAAAGAAAGAAAAGAAAACAGGTATTACATGCATCATAAAATCCTTTTTTTTTTTTTTGTGGTACAGTCCATATAAATATTAGTCCTGCTACCTGCAATCAAACCCTACCACTTCTTTTTAATTAACTTTGTGTCAGAAGTCCAGATGTTACTGAAAAGGAATGTAAATGTTGTAAACAAATTGATTGTAGATTTATAAACAACACAAAGATTATGGCCCAGGATAATCATAAAACGGTAATAGGCAAATGTATAGATTAACATAAATAGTCAAAGCAATAGACTGATAGAAATTCAGAAAGTCACTCTCTGTGAGTATCTTGCATGGGAGTTACAGTATAATAAATAAATAAAGAAAGGGTCTTTTTGAAAAGCAAGGCTAAAAAGGATATTAAAATTATGTTTGAAAGTATGTCCTTAGTAATGTTCATTGTGAGAAATAAGCTACTACTTTTTATAGAAGATTTTTTGTAATTTTTTATTTCCATACTCTAAATCATTCATTGTTCTTGTGTTCTTGTACCTTTGCCTTTCTTTTTAGATGAACTTGTGTGTAAAACAAAAGTATCATCTAGAATAGGGATTTTCAAACTTGTGTCCAGAACTCTAGGTGGTTACAAAGAAATTCATAATATTTTTTCTCATACAGTATTAATGGGCCTTTATACATGAAGTATATACATTTAGTAAGGGGTTCACCTGCAAGGGGCATTTCATGACATTTTGAAAACCCCTGATCAAGAAAACATGCTTGTCCAATGATTCACCTGATAATGTGGCACTTGGGAATTTGGGGATTTTTCTATGTCAAGTTTCTGCTTGTTGTTCAGTCATATTGTAAGATCATCTGACCTGGCTCTGCTGCTACCTTTGCTGAGACGACTTAATGATCTTGTTTCCTCTGTTTTCTCTAGTTCCAGAGCTACAAATGAAACATCCATCATCTCCTCTGTGGCCTCCATGGCCTTCATTTCTTCAGAACACTCCTCCTTCTCTGGGCATCCAGTTTCCACAGAATCCTCTTTTTTCCCTGACCCATCACACTCCCTAGAGACTTGGACCTCCTCTGGATCCTCAATCTTCAAGAATACCTCCTCCTTTCCCAAAGTTTCCACCTGTTCAGTGTCAACAGCAAGTCCTACAGCTTTATCTAGAACCTCCTCACCTTTATTGACTGCAGTATCAAAAGGTCTAACTTCATTTAGATTTTCTAAAGCTTCATTCTTACCTGTTTTTAATGCATCTTCTAAAGCACAACTTCTTCCTGCATCCACTAGACCCTCTATAGATTCACCCTTTCCTATATCTACTACTTCCTCTGAAGCTTTGCCCACTTCTGAGTCTACTACATCCCGTTGAACTCCATCCCCTTCCATATTTTCTATACCCCCCTTAGCTTTGCCCTTTCCCATATCCACTTCATCCCCAATGGGCTCTATGTCAGATAAATTTGACCCTGCTACCTCCCATAAAGCCTCAGACTCTTGCTCCCCCTCAGATATTTTAGACATGTCCAGATCTCCAGTAATCTTACCATCATCTAAAGTTTTTGCCTTTTCCAAAATGTCCTCATTTACAAAAGGCTCAATTTCACAAAGTTCCCTCTCTTCATCAGACACTGCAACTGCTGTCGCTTCCTCAACCACATCAGGTAAATTCCCTTCTTCCCTCAACTCTTGGACCTTAAAGGTGTTATGCTCTTTTTCCCCAATTTCCTGTAAGTTTTCCTTCTCATCTTCAGCTTCTGAAAGTTTTTCTTCTTGTGTTGGCTCAGCATCTATTAAGCTACTCTCCTTCGCTGCCTTTTCCTCAGTCACCTCTCTACAGGCCAGTTCTCCTAGATCTATATCCAAACTATCTTCAAATGATATTAAATATGTTTCCTCCACACTTTCCCCTTCTGAACGCTCCTCCAGTACTTCTGGTAAAGCTGTCGGAGTTTTTATGCTGTCTACCTCATCTCCTTCCCGAAGTGGTTCTTCTGGTGGAAGCTCTGGTAGTGTCTCTGTGACCTGAATGAAGGAGGGTTGAGTCTCATCGCATATGATTGTCTCCTCTACAGGTGGCGCTGTTGCCATAACCGCCTCCTGACTCCTTTTCTGCTCCTTCTCCAGCTGAGGTGAGAAGAACTGTCCCTCTTCCATACAAACCTCAGCTAGTGGATATATGTGCGCCACCTCGTCTTTCTTCTCCTCTTCAAGGCGCCTGTAACCCTTGGATTTTTGGACAGGGGTGCTCAGAAGGAATGGTAAGTTCCTCTCAGGTGGTCCACGAGGCTCCAACTGCGCTGGAGCTGGTCGGTGGAATACAAATCGGATCTTCTTCAAGATCTGATTTTTTGTGGCTGATCTCCACAAAGTTAAGGAACAGTGAAACACAAGCAACTGCAAGCATAAAAATGATAAAGATGGTCTTTTCAGTGGGCCGGGAGACGTAGCAGTCCACCGTGTCGGGGCACGGCCAACGACTGCACTTGTACAGCGGCAGGATGTGGAACCCATAGAGGAAGTACTGTCCAACTACGAAGCCTACTTCAAAAAGAGCTTTGAAGATGATATCGCATATATAGGTGAAAAGCAGCGTGCCCTCAAGTCTGAACTTTTTGCTACCCTTCGTGCTGGTTTCCTTGGTGGTGCGAACACTTCCCTGATCTGGAAGTGGAAGACGCTCCTCGCCTGTTTCTTGTTGGTGGCTAACCTCGGCTTCTTCACGCTCCTTTCGTTTTTCCTCCATGTGGAGGTAATGAACAGCATGGCCGACGTATACAAGTGAAGGTGTGGATACAAAAATGATTTGTAACACCCATAGACGGATATGGGAAATTGGAAAGGCCTCGTCGTAACACACATTCTCGCAACCTGGCTGCTTAGTGTTACATATGTAATCAGACTGCTCGTCTCCCCAGACAAACTCTGCTGCCGTGCCCAGAATTAAAATGCGGAAAATGAACAGAACTGTGAGCCAAACGCGGCCAATCACAGTTGAGTGTTCGTTTACTTCCTCCAAAATATTACCCAAGAAGCTCCAGTCTCCCATGGTTGTGTATTAGCTGTGTATAAGAAAGACAAATGGGAATTAGGGAGAAACAAGATGGTCCAAGAGTGTTTTACTTACATGATAAACCTGATATATTATATGCTTGCGGTTTTGTTTTTTTATAATAAAGTTATTGTTAAGATATTATGAAAACTATTTTCCAAATGCACCTTCTCATTAATAAGTAAACTTCTTGATAAACAAAACTAGACTGAACAGATCATTTACAAACAGGACCAGGAAACAACTGTAAGACTCAGATATGCTATTGCCAAAACACATCACCAACAGGCTCACATTCAACAATTTAGGCCATCTTAGACATAAAACAATACTGGACAAAAAAGCTATTGCTTTAAATGGAGAGCCAAAGTTAACGGAGCCTAAATGGTCACCTTTGCACAGTGGTGGGTCCAGTGCAGTCCAGTTCCGTCCGTTGCTCCTGGGGCCTGTGGGGCGAATTGAACTCCTGTCCCCCAGTCACCCAGACGCAGTCCTCGTCCTTGTCGCACCACTGAGCAGATGTGAGCGAATGGGCTATGATGGCTGCTTTTCATGCCTGCCGTAGAGTCTAAGCTGCTAACCAGATGCCCTTTATGCACCAGACCACGAGTGTCGATGCAGAAGACAATAGGATCAACAGACCCGCAGCCAGAGGGACAAAAGTATACATTTAAAAAAATGAAATAAAATTGGGGCATGAGGCCCACAGCAATGGCCTACTTCATCATGACATGCTGTAAGGATACATCAGATGATTAAAACCAAGCTGTGATTATTAAATGTCCTGTTCTTTTGATAATATAAATACATATAGTATGAAATTATATATTATAAATTGATTTCATTATTTAAATATTAAAATAGGTACATGTTCCACAAAGTTTGACAACCAGAATATATCCAAGATACATTTTTATTGTATCAAAGAAATGTAGCATAAGGTGAGCATAAGACATTTCTTACAAAAACAAATAAAAAGTCTTCCCCCAACCTTTTGAACAGCAGTATATATACTTCATATA